CCAGATCATTTATGAATAAGTTGATCAAGATTGGTCCCAGAACTGAACCTTGGGGGACACCACTAGTTTCCCCTCTCCAGTCTGAAAATTTACCATTTATTCCTACCCTTTGTTTCTTGTCTTTTTTTAACCAGTTCTCAATCCATGAAAGGACTTTCACTCTTATGCCATGGCAATGTAATTTATACAAGAGCCTTTGGTGAGGGACCTTGTCAAAGGCTTTCTGAAAATCTAAGTATACTATATCTACTGGATCCCCCTTGTCGGCATGTTTGTTTACCCCTTCAAAGAACGCTAATAGATTAGTAAGACATGATTTCCCTTTACAGAAACCACGTTGACTTTTGTCCAACAAATTATGTTCTTCTATGTGCCTCACAATTTTATTCTTTACTATTGTTTCGACTAATTTGCCAGGTACTGAAGTTATATTGTAATTGCCAGGATCTGTTATTGCCAGGATCACCTCTAGAGCCCTTTTTTAAATATTGGTGTCATGTTAGCTACCTTCCAGTCATTGTGGAAGCCGATTTAAAGGATAGGTTACAAACCACAGATAATAGTTCAGCAGTTTCCCATTTGAGTTCTTTTAGAACTCTGAAAACACTCACCACATGTGCTTAATAATAAACTTCACTTCATCTATGTTGTGGGGAGGGGTTATAAAGTTTCTGTTGGTTTAAATCCTTATGAAAGCGCCTGAGTCTGTGCTACAAATATATGGAGGAAAACGAGGTATTTTAGCTGCAGGAACCTAAATTTAGACACCTTCACAGGCAGCAAAAATAGTGGCTTGTTTCTCAAAAACACTGGGTGCTCAGAATTGAATCTCATTGTTGCAGGCGCAGTAATGTTGAAAGTCAAGCCAGGTATTGAGAGAAATGAATGTGGATTTGGGATATAACTCATGTGTGGTCTTTATGAAATATCTAGACTCACCATTTGTACACAAGGGCAGAGTCTAGCATATGTGGCACCAGGGACAGAGTATGGGCGGAATGGGGTTGTGGAAAGGAATAAAGCCCTTTCTGAAGTGTCTCCAATTGTCCTTCTCCTTCCAACAGGATGCAGAACACCCATGTCCGTCTCCAGCTCAGCCCCTGGCCTGCAGAGCCAAGGACAGGAAATGGCTCTGGTGGAGCTGGTGAGCTTCGAGGAGGTGGCTGTGTATTTCTCTGAGGAGGAATGGGCTCTGCTTGACCCATGTCAGAGAGCCCTCTACAGGGATGTGATGCAGGAGAATTATGAGTCTGTGAGCTGGCTGGGTAAGGATTCCTGCCCCCTTGGGCATCAGAAGCTGGGTGGGCTCTAGAGCAGTGGTTTGGGTTTGGTTCAGGGTCCCTCATTGCCTCCACCCCAATGTCAGGAGTATCCACCCCAGTAATCCTGGCTCCTGTGTGAGAGACTGTCCCCTTAATGCTCCCTCCCAGGAGAAGCAGATTAAGGAAGATAAAAATAGTGCTGCTCTTCCCACAACCAAGATTTCCATGGGCTTCCCACCATCTTGCTCATGTTGTTTCTTGGCCAGAGATGTCAGTGGAAGGGCCCAGGCAGGAACAGCAGGTATCAGAGTTGTGGGTCTGAGTGCGGCTGCTCTTAGTTTCTGCAGGGTCTCCTTGTGTCAGTGAGCTGAACTCCTGGAAGGAAGGCATGGACTCAGAGTCCTTCCCTGCCTCTGGTAGAGTCTGTGCAGCCCAGAAGGGCCCCAAATGGCAGGCCTGACTGGCCACAAGAAAGAGGCTGGGAAACCACACAAACGCTGCTGCTGGGGAGTGGAGCTGCAGGAACACCCTGACAAGCCACAGGAACAGCCCAGCACTGCCCTACCCAGCCACAGAAGTGGCAGCTGTTGTGTGCAACTGGCAGGGCCCACCCACGCACAGGCAGTCAGCATCAGTAGTGTGGAGCATAGGTAGTGCCTGAATCTACCAGTAAGGGTTCATTTTGATGCTCAGACAACTTCACCTGCCTCCTTCTGGCCCAACTAGAGCATCTGAGCCCAGCCCCTCCCCCCCCCCCCCCCCGCGCCT